GAAGAAGAAAATAGATAAGCACTGTTATCATCATAGAGACAGATAAACAACAAGAAAAATGACTATCAAATGAAGACTAATGCATCATAGACAAGAAGCAAGCCAACGAGATCATCTCTTCTACTGTCAAACGTCGTTCAACTTAAACTTTTCGTTATATTTATGTTGCATAATCGTGAGAATATTCTCGAAACTTCAGTGAAACTAAATGTTCTACTCGAAATAAAGCTTGTAGAACAATATTCCATGTATTATACTAGATTGAGAACAACGAGATTCTGTGTGGAGGGTAAATATTCACGATCAGGTGGTGCTTCGGCCGAATTTTTTTGGATGATGTCGCTTGTTGACGAATTTGGAGGGTGTGCATGTGGGTGTTTCCATCATTCACACCCACACCCACATCCATACCCACACCTACACCCACACCCACACTCACATCCATACCCACACCTACACCCACACCCACACCCTCCATTATTATTTTCTAGATTGAGTCTATATATGTATCTTTTCGATAACCATTCTCTATTGAGCTCAGATAAAAATGACTTCCATTAATACAAGTGTAATTTATGTGCATTGGAAAATGTTGATAAACACATGTTGACTCGAATCATTAAGCAACGAAGTGTTACTTCTTATTTTGGTGGAACATCTTGGTGTCTGTATGATCTAGTCTGCTTTCTATGGGCTCAAGTGTCGTATTGATTGATGCACTTCTTCATTCATATTATCTTGGTATGCTGTTTGGTGAGTTCAAACAAAACATCATAGTCCGGAATACAGTTGCATCTTTCATTAATCCTTGTCAAATTCATCATCTGTTGTTTTTTAGCAATATTACTACTATCCGATAAACGATTTTCACTAGCAACAGGGTGAACTCTTACTTCGTTATGATTCCAAGAAATCGATCAAGCATTAATAAACAATTCTTCACCGCCTTGCATCTAGTAATCAAATTAAACGTTTTATTATTGACAGTTGATCGATGGATGGTTTTGATTTTCGTTTCTTAGTGAATTCTAAAAGCATGCTCACTATTTTATGTCATTTATGGGTTGTACATTACGCAATGAGAAATGTTAGTAGGAAATTTTCTCGAATCATAGCTATTTTTCCCATCTTCGTCGTTTTTCAACAAGTCGCTACCTTTAAACATCGAATATCATTTTATTCCTTCATAATAATACACCGAATTCTCGATCACTTTACACATGTATGCTACAAGAATTATTATTTACTTCGATATCTGCAAATTATAAACTAAACTATATTAAATAACTGGAGATTATTGAGAATTTTACGTCACCGGATCTGACAATGACGTTGATCTCGTTTGCTAATTTATGATGACTTAGCATCGAATGACAAAACACTCAATGATTCTCACTCCTTTCTAGCGGAGAATTGCAGGGTGTGGGTGTAGATTGAGAGATGAGCCACATCCACAACCACACCCCCACCCTCATCCCACACCCACACCCACACCGACACCCTGAACGACACGAAGTACACGTTGAAAGTCTTTGGATAATTAAAAGATTATAATTGCTCTTGAAATTGTTGATATTGTTGTGGTTGTTATTGTTGTTGTCTTCATTAGCTTTGAATCTGGTAAATCATTCCTGATGATGTTCCCAGAGAGGAACGAAAGCTTGAATCAAATGATTTGTCATTGACTAATTCAATACAATGCTATTCGTGGCAGTCATTCCCTTCTTTCTTAAACTTCTATTACCTATTGCCAATAATGATAACTTCACGACTCTTTAGATATTAATCAGATAATTTATATAAGTTTCGCTTTCTTGTAGATGCTTAATTTTAGATATCGAATCATTCCCACACAGTTTCAAGAAGTTCCATCGCAGGTGGATCTTCCATAAAGGGCATTGTTGGAATAACAGTTCGTATTACGTCAGTTCTTGTTTCCTTATCTTTCTCTAGCTGCTGTTGTAACCATTTAATAAGTTCATCTTGCTGTTCTATTCTAGCTTTCATGCGTTCCAATTGTCTTCGTAAGTTCTTCAGTTGTTCATCGTTTTTATTGTCTACTGCTGCTGGTTTCGAACTGAAAATTCTAAACTATATCTTGAATCTAATTGTTCTTATCTTACTTAGGAGGCGCAGATGTTGTACGTATTGGAATACAAATCTTGAAACTTCCTGGCATCGTAGCTTGGACTTCTCGGATTATTTCCTATACAATAACTAATATCGGAAAAAAGGATAATGCCGATAACATTTACTTACTCTTTTAAGCCGACTATCATGCAAACTCAAATTTGAATCATGTCGTTGTTTTTTCTTCAAAAACGAAAGAAGACCTGTCGAAAGAATGACAAAAAGGAGTAGTTCAATAACCAACCTCTGTTTTATGATGTTGATTTTTTGTACTGGATTTATCTGGTGATCGAATACGATCACGACGATATGTCTGTTACAGATCGAACGAACAAGATTTTATCAAAATAATATAAAATGTATACATACGCAATAGGCTTTTGAAGACTTTTCTATGGTTAGTTGATCATTCATCGACATTTGTAATCTGGGATCCTGATATGGAACTTTCCATGAAAGAAATCTAAATTATTGTGATTGTTTTATCTTGGAATGTATACAATACTATCTTTACTCAGATTTGTAGCGATGATAATTCATAATTGACAATTATCTGAAAAATATCTGAAAAATATCTGGAAAGAAATGTAAAGTCATAATTCAACATTTAATTGGACAGCATTTATTAGTTTCGGCTTCCGTGATCTCGTCTTTAATACTATTAATTTCTACTAGAGTTCCACTTCGATATCCATATAATTCAGGTTTCATCCATTTGGCCTCACACCATTGAGAATTATTATTGTCTGATACTTCGATTCCCGGAGCACGAAAAAAATCATAAAGAATCCAATGCTCTGTCTGTGTTTCTGACGATGACTTCGGCTGAATTAGTAACTTATCGTTGACATCAAGTTTGGCAAACTTGAAGAAAGAACGTCTTAAATTCGCTTTTGCAGAGCAAATAATATTAATAAGGATACCAGGCAGTTTGTCGATCGTTGTCTTAGGCTTTAATGCGAAGCCTAATTTATTTAGATCCTTATCGCGAATAGTTTCAATTACATACTTGACAGCAAAGTTCGCTACACGTTCCGCTGGTAAATTACTATCTTGCTCGTCATATAATTGTTCTTTCATAGAATGAATTATTTTTGATCCATTAGATGGATTAGTAGGCTCTGTAGCAAGACGAACAAGTTGCTTCCTGTATCGGTCAGTTATTTCAAAGGCTATTTTCCGAGCTGCTGAAGAAAATTCCGTATGATCACCCATAGTATTAAAAATCGATAATTTATTTTGAATTATGTCGTAGTCTTTTCCATAAAGAAAGTCCGAACCGACGTCCAGCGCTGTATCTAAATATTCACCAGCAACAGGCACATATTTCAGACCTTTGCCCAGATATTTGAGTATCCCTGCCACACTAAAACATTCAACAACATGATAATGCTTATCTGAAAATATGATATTCATTCAATGATCCACTGCTGAGAAAAGAGACATTGAAGAATTTCACTAAAGTCTCATAGGGATTATTTTCTTGCAAATGAACAAACGCTATATTTACTAGAGCTAAGAAGAAATGACGTTCTGAATATTTACCAATAAAATGAAAAAGTGTATTTTAACATCAATACAGAAAAGCTATATACAACGTACGGGTTAAAAGATGAAACATTGGTTTAAAAAATCATCTTTGGTGAGAGCAAAGTTTGATTTTGAACTTAGGAAGAAATTAGAAATGCTTTTCGGACTGGCAAAACGCAACATACATGCTGAGTGAACCCTTGAGATTGTGTGCTACAATTGATACATCACCTCCAGTCATCGAAAATGCAACTAAACTTTGACCAAGTCGTCGTCGAAGAGTATCATAAAAGATTCGAAGATTGCCAGAGTGATCCATTTCAAACAGCGTATGATCGTTTTCAATATCGGTTAGATTTTTTTCTATACGTTCCATAACTGTATATCGATGGATAACCAATGGACTTGTATGAATCGAATGTCGTTCGTTTTTCAACTGTTCCAAAAAGTTACGCCATGATTGTTTAACATTTGGGTCTGTTAGAAATTCGCTGTAAAATTTGTTCATGGAATAGAAAGCATCAACAAAGTTCTTCTGTGATTCTTGACACAAAGCCATCAGTGTTCGTGCTTCTGGACAATTACCTTGATCGATAGCCAACTGATATGCTTCTATTGTTTTATAATACGAAACGGAAAAGTTCTCTGCCACCGATAGTAATTCTTCTTCTCTGAGAGCTAACAAAAGATAACGATTCATGGTCTTTGCTTTGTCGACAGTTGGAGACGGAGGTCGTGTTGAAGTATTTTCTGACATAGAAACCGTCTCTTCTAAAAGAGATGGCTCTGATTTCTGCAATCCAAAAGCTCGCCGTCGTTCAAAGAGAGCATTATTGAAACGGTCAACTCGCTCATGTAACGATCCTAGTTCATATATGATGTCTTTGTCATGTGGAGCAAGTTTATGAGCTGTATTGAAAGTTTCCAATGCGTCTAAATATTTATTCTCGGTGAGATATATGCGTCCAAGACGAAAATAAGCTCGAGCATGCTTTGGATTTAGGATAAGAGCATCATGAAGTTTATTTGTGGCTTGATTAGAGTCTCCAAGAGATTGATAAACAAGTGCTTCACGAAAGAATATTTCAGCACGATCATGCTGATTTTGTGATTGAGACTCTAATGCATAATGAAACTCTTTAAGCGCTTCAGGATACTGTCCAAGTTCACTATAAACAATACCCAATTGAAGATGACTTTGGAAATCATGAGCATTAATACTTGAAGCTCTTTGAAAATCTTCTTTCGCTTTCTCATACTCTCCAAGATGGGCCGATACTCGTCCTCGACAGCATAATGAGTATGTAGTTTGATTTTCTTGACGTTCGTTTACTTTATTTAAATCGATTAATGCTTCTTTATAATGACCCATAGTGCAGTAAACCAGAGCTCGACTTAAATATCCATGATGAGTATCTTCGATTCCTTTTTTCCGAATAAATGTCGAAAAGCTTTTAATCGCACCTTTATTGGCACCAATTTTCCATTGTGCGAAACCTTTTTGATAATATAGATCGATGGGAAGTTTTTGGCCAATTTTTATGAAGAAGTTGATAGCTTTATCAAAAGCACTGATGGCTTCTTTATATTCATCATATTCATCCAGTTTGTTACAAGCACATCCAAGTAAGTATTGAGCTCTGCCGTACTCGTCAGAATGTGCTTCAATATGCAGAAATGCCGTTTTGGCTTTTTCATATTGACCCACTCGAGCTAAACTGCAAGCATCAGCGAATAATTTTGAAACAGAAGTCCTTGACATATCCTTCACGTACAAAAAATTAAACAAGTTTATTTCGAAACTCTCTTACTTTCTTACTTCATTAGTGGAAGTTGGAAAAATCATTTGACTTGTTTGTAGCGTATCTAATCTAGATCTATCGAGTTCCATTAATATACGGAAATGTCGAAAAACGCTTGATCCTAATGTTTTAATTAAATAAAACTTAATCAAGATATTTTGTTTAGTATATACATAAAAGTAAGCGGTAGGTATCGTAGTTTAGATATACAATGCTTTTTTTTACTGTTTCTCTTATTATTAAACTATTGTTGTCTGTAGTCTGAATTGTTCTCTTTCATAAATCATAAACTAAGTTACTAAACGAAGTTTTCGCTTTCTTCTTCGAAAAAGAAATACAAATGTTCAAAATTGAAGACTTTGAGTTTATTTATGATATTTTTCGACAGTAACAACTGGTTGTTAAAAATATATCTATAATACTATGAAAGACGTAGGCTATCCCGACTTCAGATTCGAATATTTTTAGGGTGTGAGTATAGGGGTGGGCGTGCATGAAGAGATTGGAACCCACACCCACACTCACACTTATACTCACACTCATACCCACACCCACACCCTTTTGTTTTTACTGCCCTTACATGGAGAAATAAAAATGAGACAGAAGAACTTTTTTTTGGTGTCATTAGTATTGATGCATATCTTATGAGAAAAGTTGTCTAGACTTAGTGATGACTGGGCTACTGTTTTGCTGTGGAAGAATAAATACCACTCGACCTTCACAATTCAAGAAAAGCTTGATGGTACCGATTGAATCTTCGAGAAAAAGGCAAACAGCTAAAAAATTAAAAGAATAGAAATGCAGAACTCGATGAGGATCTCGTATACTCGAGCATAGTTCAGGCAATCCAGTACACGTGCAATCTGTTCTGTTTTCCATTCAAATCCAGTGAGTTGAACTTTTCATTAAAGTTTCCAAAAATATCATAAAGGACAAGGAAAAGACTGCTTCGAAACAATCAGCATCAAAATTATCTCATGATCTTCTCCTTTATGATAATTTCAAAAGGACTATTTGTCAAGTTTATAATCTAGCCTATAATCCTCTTTCCAGATTTGATGTTAATTTTGCTTGAAAGAAAACAAGAGAATCTGCGATAAAACAAAGTAGATCATTTGTACAAGTCTAGTGTGAAAAAAATCTGTATTGTCTAATCTGACGAAAATCATTGCAACTGATTGGATCAAGAGTCAAGCTAGCACTTCAAAACTAATGTTGCTTTTTTTTTATCCAAATCAGAGATTTATAGCTGATTCTAAGACAAAATTTTCAATTCGTCTTCTTTGTCAGCTAGCGATAAGTCTCAATTTCATTTAATAAGAGTCTCCAAGCCAATTTCTCCTCCACTCTAAACCTCTTTTTCTCTTGTGTCAAAATTGATGCCAAAAACAATATAGTCATAGATAGCGAGCATCTTGTCTTTTAGTAGACAGGAAGACCGTGCTGCTACCTGATTGATTAAAACATGTTCAACTGTCAGATTACTGAATGAATAAAAGGTTACAGATAAGATGCTATAGATTCATTTGGTTCAACATATTTCTTGTATTACTCATTAATTTATCTTATTCCTTACTGATGCTTGTTATTCTATTTCGAACACTTTCCCATAAAAATAAGATAGTAAACTGTCGTGTTATTAAAATAGACTTGATACCCATCTAATTAAGTTTAAGTGTATAGAATTTGCAAAATAGATAACCCTAGCGAACTATCTTGGACTGTGCGCATGAAATGCATGAGCATCTGAAGCAAGAACGTCATGCGCTATGAACAAATCTAGAGGGCTATGCATTTCATGCTCATAAGAAAGAAAGCTGTGCAAATAAGGGTGATTTGGAGTTCTAGTCACTTTCCAGATCAAATTTTTTCCTAGCAATAAGTTTCACCTACGAAGTTATAGCTACCCTAGTGAACTCTCTCGTGGTGTGCGCATGAAAAACATGAACATTGGAAACAAGAACGTTATGCGCTATGAATACACCTTGAGAACTGCGCATTTCATGCACATAAAATGCTATGTAAAAAAGGTACTTTCGAGTTTCAATCACTGTCCAGATCGAACATTTTCCACCTGAAAATAAGTTCGACTTGTGAAAATATATCGACTGCTTTTAATCACGGTTTTAATGGAATTTTTTCCTTCCATGCCCATGACTTTCTCGATATTCTTGAACAAGAAAGTGATGTGCTGTAGACAAACCTTGACGTCTGCACAGGTCAAGCATATGAAAAATAAGTTCGCCTAGGAAATGATTTTTCTCAATAGTTTAATACAGCTTTTCTAACCATGTGATAAAGCAGTGAAGCCTTGACGCTGAGTTCTATGAGATTTTCAGGACTAGGGTGATGATCATAGAGATTAAATACGAATATTGGAAATGTCATTTATTAGTATAAAAGATTCGAAAATCTATAGGAATCCGACATTCTCATGGGAATCCCATAGGAATTCGGGGATCTTGGAAATCCGGAATCCACCGTTTCTTCCTTGGTCTTAGCGCCAAGTGTAAAACATTGAATACAGTTTCTTTTTGCAGCTGTAATTTTCTTAATAATTTACTTACTACGATTAAGTTCTTGAACAAGCGTTACTCTTCGTAATTTGAATTATCTGTTGCATTTGACGAGATTTTTTGGCGTCCTACACCGTTTGTCTGCTTTTCTTGGATGACTTGTATCTTACTTTTGCAGCATATCAGTGCTTTGCCTTCTGTTGTTATCTGTTTTTGCCTTCTTTTTATGTGTCTTTATGAATTCTTATCAAATAAACACTATCAAAAGGACAACACACAACAGCAATAAAATATTCACTGAACGAGGGTGTGGGTATGGGGTGTGGGTGTGGGTGTGAGTGTGGACAAAAATATTTCTTTAAAACACACTCACATCCACACCCACACCCACACCCACACCCACACCCACACCCACACCCACACTCACCTGCTGTATGGGTGTGGCTGTACCTGTGGGAGTGGTTGGTGTGGGTGTGAGCGTGGATGATAGAAAAGCCATACCCACACCTACACCGTTTGAAGAGAACTGTATAGAATCCTAGGGGACCCTCAAGAATCCTTTGAAATTGTGAGGAATCCTTTGAATTCTAAATACTCATAGGGAATCCTTGAGATTGGTAGGAATTCAAGATTTCAAGGTTTTATGATTTTTCCTTTGAATAGACTAAAATAAGAATTGTTACTAATCGAAACTCAATAATCTATATGAATTTCACATGTTATGTTTTCGTAAAGCTGAAGTAATATATTGTTTCTCGAAACACCTAGTGACTTGAACCCATCCGATTCTATGCAAATAACTAGAGGAACTATTTCGAACACCCGATGAAATAAAGTCTTGAATTAACTCGCGTCTCTGATTTTTTCTTCGAAATCTCACTACTTGTGGTATGCTATGTAGCTCTGTCTGTGACGTTTGAAATACTCTCCCCAGTCTCATAAATTCTTTTAATAATGTGCTCATTAAAATCAAATAATGAAAATCAACCATACCGAGTCAATTTTACCGATGGTTTCTTCCAACTTGGTCGAGTGTTGTGTAAGTCAGACAAGCGCGTTATTTGTCAAATAACTTTTTTCTTATCTGTGTATCATGGCAACATTTCAACTTCTTATGCCACTTATTTTTCTTTCGTTTTTCTTTTTGAATACTTCTTATCTACGCACTCTATTTGGAAGGACTACACGTGGTGATAATAAAATATTCAAGATAACCCATGTGGCCGGTCGCTTAAATAATAGATGCAATTACATGATATTGCAACCTATTTCGTGCATTGTAATGCATTATTTGCAAAAATAATGGATCACAATGCATTATCTGCGAAAATAATGCATTGCAATGCATAAAATAGGTTACACTATCATGTAATTGCATCCATTATTTAAGCGACTGGCTACATGAGAAAGAGCAGAAGACAATTAATCATTAACAAGAAAAAAAAAATATTTGCACAAAGAAATTCAGTTCATAAAAAGTCTACATGCCAATATTTATTTCCATACAATGTGCAATAGTGAACATCATTCAATAATGAAGAATAACTAATAAAGATGAACTTTTATAGGAACCTGTAAGAAAATATGACTATAGACACCAAGGAGAGTACGATTATTTTAAAAATTATTTCATATTCTATTTCATTCTTGGATAGATGAGGCTTATATGATTAGAAACACCAGACAAAATTTGTGTAAGTTGATGAGAAAAAGTGATAATTTCCAATATAATTACTAATTTTCGAATTCAATTCATAATTTTCTTCAATGAAAGAAAGGGTGTGGGTGTGGGTGTGGGTGTGGGGGTGGGGGTG